GTACGGACGCAGGACCCGTTCCATGGCAGAGCGGATTCCCGGGCCATAAAAGGTCAGCTATTGGTCGGAAGACACGTTAGGACGCATCTGAATGGGTTTCGAGTGGTTTAAGTGAGTGGAAACTGGATCGGACGAGGCTTGCGTTCGAGTGTTGATGACTTCCCGGGCGTGGGAGGCGGATACCAAGGCCAGGATGCCCGCCATTGGATGGACCGTACCATTCTCGTGGGACGTAGCATGCGGCGCCGCGCTCGTATGCGGGGTACGAACTCGTGGAAAAGGAATTCGGACGGTGAGGGCGTTCAGTGGTGCTCGCACCATGGTCGGACGGGTGGTACGTGCGATGCCAAGGGTCGGATGGGGAGCGTAAGCTGCGTGCGTTTGATGAGGAACCGGATTTGGTAACTTGGATTCCCGATTTGGATGGACGGGCGCCTCGTACGTTCTCGTCCTGGACTCGGTTGAAGGGGCCGTGAGGCGGTGTGCAGGGCGTAGCACAAGCACCAGCCTCACAGCGCCCGTTCATCCAAATCGGGAATCGAAGTTACCAAATCCGGTTCTCATCAAACGTACGCAGCTTACGGTCCCCATCCAACCCTCCACATTGTTCGTACCACCTGCCCGACTAGCCATGACACTCGCTGGACGCCCCCATTACCCGAACTCCGCCTTTGCATGACTCGCACCTCACTTACGAGCACGACACCACATGCTACGTCCCACAAGAGGGGTACGGTCCAACCAATAGCGGGCATCTTGGCCTCGGTTGCCTCTTCCCACACCTAGGAACTCACCAACGAGCGACCGCAAGCCTCGTCCGTTCCAGTTTCCACTCGCTCAAACTACTTGAAACCCACTCAGATGCGACCAGTAACTGACCATTTGGGATCCAGAAACTCGCTCCGCGATGGAACGGGTCCTGTGTCCGTACCAATTCGCGTCGTACACTCTGAAAATGAACCCCAAAATTCGAACGCAAGCCTCGTCCGTGGCCCCAAATACTGAATGCACACCACGTCCGCTCCTGCGAAAGCACCCTCAAACGCGAAGGGAATAGAACCGAACGAGTGGGCATCAAGGGGACGGTCGAGAGGCAAAAAGGTATAAAAGGATAGCAGAAAAGGGCGTTGTAGTCAGTCAATTTTCGGAGCTCAGTTCTCCCCCACCACCTGTACCCCCACCTGTGCAACTAAGCTTCGCTCACACCGAGTTGACCACATCCTCACTTGCCTCTAGCAGGGCATTTCACTCTCACACCTCCTTTAGCAAGGTCCCAACTCATCGGACCCCAAGTCATATCATCGGGCTTCCCCATTATAGGATCACCAACTTCGCAAGCTCCACGCTTTGTAGAAGTCGGCCTGGGCGAAGCCATATTGGTTTAAATCGCCGTCTGCAACCCAGCGTCACGACCGGACGTACCATACGTTCGACTGACCAGCACCAGCCGGCGTCGCTGTCACTTGCTTTATAACCGTCAAACGTTGTATCAAGTCTTCCACCTTCGTTGGGAACATCGGGGAAACATGAGGAAAGGATCACAGCATAGGGCATCGGATTTTACGGGAAACAACGCGTCGTTCACTCGAGCTTGCGACCCAGGACAGGTAACTATCGCCCCCACACCCATTTACAGCTAACAGCAGGTACCCCCAACACAAACTCACGGAACGGACGCCTCGTGCGATCCCATACAACACTCTCACTCGGACAACGCACGCGTCCCAATCCTACATCCCCACTATCCTCCAGCGTTAATTAACCCCTAGAGGCCGAATGTGCTGTCTATTTGATAAAACAAATTCTCATAGCGGCGCCGCGGTCCTTATCACAACGGGTTCCCTGCAGCTTGTCAGGTGATTCCTATAGCTAGGTGATTAAACTCTAGAAAAATACTAGTCACTCTGTTAAGAGTACTGATAGAATCCCTTCATTCAATATTGTTTAGAGCTAGTTTTCAATGCTTCATAGGTTTAATACTTAGTCTCGGGACAAGACTAGTACCCTCTGTGTCTTACTTCAATTAGATTGCTCTAATGTAACTTGGTAAAATCAAAGAAGTTAGGCGTGTTCAAAACCACGCCTTATCAGCGCGCTGAGATGAGTTTTACGGGATTATTCAGCGCCCTAGCGTATTACAGCTAATTGCAGTACCGAAGGCGTGAATGAAAAATTTCCTGTTTGGGATGTTTATCAAAGAATTCCAGATCTCGGTCACTTCTTCATGGATTTGGATGAAACTATGCTAGATAATTCGGGCTAACTCATTCGCAATTAGTGATAGAAATAAACTCGCAAAAAATAGTTCATATTGATTGACCTGTGATCTCGGACTGTTTCTGTGATAAATGATGTTTAGCATAGTCCAAACATGTTAAAATGAGCTGATTTTTTGTAACAACAAAATAACATACATTTATAAAGATGTGATAGAGCCAGAATCCAAGATAATTCACTCTATGTTGCTTGTAATCATTTCTGGACGATGGGCAGTCTGCTCTGAGCTGGAAATCTTGTGAGAATTGAATGCAACCATGACATTTATGAAAATTTGGCTCCATCATATTATTTATAATCCATGCAAGTCTTCTGTCTCACAAAATCAGGCCATTTGAACAAGTACTGGGCTTGCTGGAAGGCATCCAACCCCCAAATAGCCTGAAATCCAAGATCAGCCACTATACAATATTTCGACAGGTTTCTCTCTATCACTGATTGCGAATGAATTAGCCCGAATTATCTAACATAGTTTCACCCAAATCCATGAAGAACTGACCAAGATCTGGGGAATTCTTTGAAAAACATCCCAAACAGGATATTTTGCATTCACGCCTTCCGTACTGCAATTAGCTGTAGGTCACAATGCTAAGACGCGAATCAATAGAAGGGTGAATAGAATAGGGAGTCGCAGAGGAGGTTGCTTCTGTGATTATGTTATTGGTTGATCCATCACAGAGATTGTAACAGCTCTCAAGAGCGTATCACAAATATTTATGGGTGGGATGCTCGTCGTACGACCCTGGCGAGTACTGAGAGATTTACACTGGTGTGAGGACTTGGAGAATAGCCCCAAGTCCCCGAGACAGCCTCTACCAATGAAGCTTGAGACCCTCGAAGGTGGAAATCCTCCAACGAGTACTGATGTGTCTCTCACAAGCGAAGATGGAAATCCTTCAATGCTTTGGTTGTTGAGATAAGGCTGGCTCAGGAGCTAGGAGCATGCTAAATGGAGCCTGGAAGCTCCTGGAGATAGATCAAATGCAGAGGTAACACGGATTGCAGCAGATAAGACAATTACCACTGGTAGACTCTCAGAGAGAGACAAAGGCTATATCTCCGTAGAAGACTTGGATCGTCGAGATCCAATACACTTGAAGAACACCTGGCAGCCTAGTACGCGAGTCTGTGGTTAAGAGCACAAGACGAACGGATGTTAGGTGTAAGATAGTGACATTGATGACTCTTCGGCCATTACAAATACAGGATCATGCGACTACCATGTGACTAGACACGTACTAAATAATGAGAAAAATAGAAGTAGATAGAGGTTAGTTGCAGAGTACCAAAAGAAGTGAAAAAAGCATCCATGGGCCCCTACAGAGATGGTGCTGCACAGCGACACCATATTGCGGTGGTATCTGAGCGCGAAAGACTCCGAGTCCAAATTGCGAGAGGTAAAGCACTGTGAAGGTCGTGGTGGGAAGCAAGGAAAAGTTTGATCAGGCACCTCGGCCTTGTCTACAATCACAATCCTCTCTTGACTCCTCCGTTCATCCCGCAGACTTGTGCGCGCAGATACATCTGGCTGGATCTCCGACAGCAACCATCGATGCATGCCGCCCCTTCACCCTCACACATCGAAGCCTTCTGCGTGACCCGACGGTGTCCTCGAGTCGATTGAAACGTCCTAGACTCCTGCCTGCGTGCGAGTTTATTTCCTCGATCGCTCACATCTTCATCCCCCTAGCGTGCTCCCAGCATGCTCCTTCCGTAGCCCTCACATCAAGGTTCCTACCGGCAGCGCATCGCCCATCCACCCCACCATGTGCACAGGTGTACTCCAGCTCATTCCCGTTTGCGCCAAGCGTCAAGCTCCTCGCACATCGACTTTGCTTTACCGCCCTTATCGCCTTCCTTGATTCCAGATTGGGCGCTCTGAATACCCGCCTCTGCTTTTGTTGTTGGAAGGATTAGAACGTCTCGACTGGCGTACACAGTCCGCAGAATCTTTCTGCCACATTCTTGAGTATCTTGTTCTCTTGTTTCTCTAGGCACGATTGTCGAACTGACCTGTGCCAATGGTTCATGCCCATAAAAAGCGTGCCCTCCCACCTTGATTGGGATCCTGATTCTGTCGTGGATTGGCTCCATCTCGACTTTGTTATGGCCGTCACACACAGCCATAGGCACGTACACCGCTCCCCCTCTTATGTCTTTCGCGTCCTCATTTTTAAATCACCTCGTGTGCTCCCTCCGCTTTCTCGTCTTGTGCATGGTTTCGTTCCATTCCTGGTTGCCTCCGCTCCCCACAGCCGTGATCGCCAAACAAACCAACTTGGCGCTGTCCAGGAATTATCCTCACCATTCGGAAATCTTGTTTGGTCTCGCAGCAGGTCGGGGTTCGACTCCCCGCACCCGAATTTGCGGCCGACTCTGTGATTCCTTTTCTTTTTCCCCTCCCATTCTTCCCTCTCTCGTTCTCTCGCAGATTATGCTCATCGTATCACCACTGCCACTGGATTTCATGGGGCACCAAATTGTTGGGACACGCCAGTAATGGATCCGCGTTTGGTTGGTGCGTGTTTATGACCGCCAATTCTTTTTTCTTTGTGAATCTAGGTCGATCCCGCGGCCGTCATCTATCTTCACTCGCGCGAGTTGGGTGCGTACGTATGCGCATAACCATTTCTTTGAAAGAAAATCGGTACACGCTCGCAAAGTTTATGTTAATTCACATTTCTGCCACATTTGATCTTCATTCATGGATCAAGATACCTCATTCGGGTGTGGTGCATGGTGCACAGCTTTGCGAAGTGAGATCTTCGTTTTGTGCCATCTCACAGCAGACCGGGGTTCGACTCCCCGCACCCGAATTCGCTGCTGACTCTGTGATTCTTTTTCTTTTTTGCTCCCATTTTTCTTCCCTCTTCTTCATCGGTGTTCCTTATCGCATAACTCCCCCTCGATTTACTGGGAATCGCCTCGAGCAGATTGGGTGGGACACGCCGAGAATGAATCCACATTTGGTGGAGGTGTGTCACTCATTATGACCGCCAATTCTTTTGGTGAATCCAGGTCGGCCCCGTTACTTGTCTTTATTCGGGTAAGGTAGCTTGTGTGCGCATGTGCATGATTATTGATTTGAGCGAAGCGCGGCACTTTCCCGTAAAGTCTGTACTGAGCACTCACCTTTTTACTCCTTTTTCATTTTACTGTACTATTAAATTCAATTCGTCAAGGGGTGTGACGCGTGACCCGAAATACCATTTCGTCAATTCGTCAAAGGGTCCCCAGCTGCGTGACAACCCCAAAAATTTCGTCAACCCCAGGAAATATTCCAGGGGTTGCAAGACATGTAGAGTAAACCATTAGGATGACTTAGGAATCACCTGAGAAGTTTTATTGCAGCAAATCCGTTGAACAGGAAACAAATCCATTTTTCACCGTTGAACTTTGGTTGAACTTAGTCTGAAGCATGACTCGGATGTTTGTGAGGTTTGAAGCAGGAAACCTTGAAAATGGCGAAAGAATAGTTGGAAGAGTGTCCGCAGCTAAGGAAACTTAGCCCTGAACCCAAATTTTGAACCGGCCGTGACGAAAAGTATATTCGTCAAGAGCTTCCGTGACGCGTGACAAGGTTCCAAAATTCGTCACGTCAAGCATCCCCGTGACGCGTGACTGACGAATTGATTTTAATAGTACAGTACACTCCCCAGATACTTCAACTCGGGTCTGGTGCACTGCGTTGACTCCGAGAGCCTCTAACTGTGCTCGCAGCAGATGGGTTCGACTCCCCGGTCCCGAAATCTTGGTGTTTGTGTGTTTTCTTTTCTTTGTTTCCCTCCCCTTTATCTCGCCCCCTTTCGCAGATTCTTCTCATCATATCAGTGCGCCTTGGAATTCGGGGAGAACCACCTCGAGTACGTTGGTTGGGACACTGGGCTGATAAATGCGCGTTTGGTGGAGCAGGTATCGACTTATTGGCCTTGTTGGTGCGTTATCGCACTCGATGATCTTGTAACTTGTATACCTGCAACAATTCATGAAGTAAATTTAGTCTCGAGACTGGTGGGCAATTCGACGGTCATTGTAACGCGTTTCCGTTGATCCATCCAACCGGTATTTCAATCGCGCATGGTGCATAGTGCACGGCTGCGCGGACTGGGTAGGGAGTGCCTTTGTGCTCGCAGCAGATGGGGGTTCGACTCCCCGCGCTCGAATTAACCCTGGGAATAGCAGGTTTTTTGACTACCTTCAAAAATTGGATTCGAGTCTTTATATTTTTCTCGAACTGAAGTAGATACAGTCCTTTCAATGACGGATTCCGCGCACAACTTTTCCCGGGATTGACAGCTATATCACCCAGCGCCCTGTTCTCATTCAATTTTAGTGGTACTCAGAATTCGGTACACGGCTGCAACTGTGCAATTTTGAGCGTGCAGTCCGAAAATTCTTCCAAGGTCAGTAGTAGTAGACGACATTCGGCCTCGGGTATAGCATGCTGCACACTGACCGTCCTTTCCTAGGACCCGTTCAAGCCTGATGATGCAAGAATCTAGACGCTCTCACGCACACGGGTATGGCGCACGGTGCATGGCACAATTCGTCCCTCGTCTTTTCTGTGCGGGTAACCCGCTCTGGAGGTTTTAGCAGCGGCGACGCTGCAATGCAGGAAAGACGAAGGAGAGTAGTAGTACGCCGACCATGCTGTGACGAAATAAGGTAGTGCTATGCGCTTTATATACGGGCCCCATGGGAGACTCGATGGTTGAATAGTTCAGCGCAGTGGCGTTGAGGGAGAGCTTCGCATGATGTAGCTGTACAGTAGGGTGACATCACACGCAAACGAAGAAAATGAACGTCCGAGGTTCAAGCGTGAAATTACATCACGGGAGAAAGACAGGAGAGGCGCGATACAGTATACAAGGAAGAGTATCGTGTCCAGGCTGGGAGAGGGAGGTAGAGGTCCAGATCCAAATGTGAGGCGGCGTATCTTGGCATGCCAAATAGGGGATATTGCCATCACGGAGGAAGAAGAAAATAATAGTAGGCGCGGGAACGCGGAACACGGGGGTCGATCGCAAGGAAAACATAGTATATAGACGAGAAGAGCACATGAGAATAGTGGAGGACGCGGCGGATTTGTGCGCAGCATGGGACGGATGGAAAAAGGGGGTGGAGTCATGAGCATGTTTCGAGTGGGAGGAAACGAGATGGAACGAGGGGAATAACGGTGGTTGGAATGGCAAGGCGCCGGAGTCCGAGTAGCCGCTGATGGTTATGATGTTCACATTTGGCGATGTGGAAAGAGATGAGCACGCGCGTTGATATTGATAGCGAATCAACGAAAGCGGCAGAAGAGGGGACCAAGATAAACTGGGCCACGGAGCAACCGGAAACGGGATGAGACTGTAGGGCACGACGAACCAGACAGCGGCCAGAGGAATGGTGAAGTGGTGGAAGAACGAGAAGACAAAGAATGGAACGTAATCTTTGTTGCGGAGCATATCCCCAGCATCTACATCGGCACGATCACTCCCGGCGTAAAAAAGGTAGTGGCAATAACGGACCCGGCCCGCGCGCTCTGTGCTGGGAAAGGGATATATCAATTTACTGAGGGGTATGGAGAGTAACCGGGAGGTGGAGGGGAGAAGGTGGAGGGAGTACTTGGCAAGGAGAGCACGTATGGTAGTGGACAGAAGGGAGGGCAAAGGGCAAATCGGACGTAACTGTCCCAGCGCGCCGATCCGACGCAGAACGGTGCGTCGCGGATTCCCCCGGGCGGAAGAATGCCGAGTCATGAAGAGCCAGACGGTACGCGCGACAGTTTAAAACGACAGAGATCGGGAAGGCGCGCGGACAGAGTCGGACGCAGACTACGGGATCCTGAAGAGGTATGAGGACGGCGATCCGGGGAGAAGATCATGACAACGCACCTGTCCACTGCATCCCGCGGGGGCAAACGTGGTCGCGACAATGATAGCATCTGAGTCGCGCACGAGGTCGAATAGTGAATGTTAGTCGTGGTGCAGAAGAAAGAGGCGGTGTGGCTGTGTCAATCACCGGATCAATCTCAACGTCTTTGCTGCCGGCCGCTGTTTTCGCACGCCATCAGTTACGGTGTTTCTTCTAGGTTGAGTCCGCTACAACTGTCAGAAGATTCGGGTTTAGACTGGATCGAGGTCGAGTTCACATCGGGTTTGCTGCCTACCCTCCCGCCAAAGTCCGGATAATCCCGGAGTGTGGGAATGTTCGACAAACTGGGTCGGGCCGACCTCGAATTATCATTGCCCGCATACGTTGTCCCTATGATTCTGAGAACAAATAGCGAGCCATCTGGTAGCCACATATAATGTTCGCGTTGTTACCTGGACTGTTGTTACGGCAAATAACTCCCGATTTTGACACGAATTTCATGGCTGCGGGAAAGAGAACGGGAAAAACTTGCACAAAAAAGAATCTGGGACATTAGATTTGTTAGGGCCAATGGAGGTCCAGTTTTTTCTCTCTTTGTATTAAGTCGGTTTTTTGGGGGTGAATAAACAAAGTGGCGGCGGTGTCCGACAGCCCGATGATCCGCCATTGTCCTACCCACGCAATAGCGACGCTCAGCTCAACCCTGGCCATAATCCTTCGAGGATTGACCTATATACTACCTGGGGATCCAGTATAGGGGTATTCTGAAATTTCATCCAATTTGTTTCTTCTCCCTCCCCAGTTTTTTTCCTCTTTCTATTTTTGCAACATCGGGAACGTGATAAGACACGGGCACTGAGCGAGTTTCTACTTGTTCGGACACGTGAAACGAATTCCTGCGACTCTCTGAAGGCTCCGAGCGCGGAAAATCGCTCCTAAGCTTCCTGCGAGGTGACGTAGCCGATTCCTCATCATCCAGCAACTTGTCGACTCGCGCGATACCCTTTGAATTGCTTAACGGCCCGCGACATTCCCTGTAACTTCCAGTTTCGGTCTCGTGCGGCTTAAGACACACTTCTGCCCCATATATCTTCGAGATAAGTCGAGTTTCCGCCCCATGCATCACTTGTTGCGTTGCGTGAATCCTTCCATGTAGCACATGCTGCGTAAGATATTCAATGCAGAGTTTCAGTTTTGGTCAGACTCTTTTGCGTTGCCGACGGTAGATCGGTGTGGGCTTGGATCGGGGAGAGGTCCATGGTGGTAGCATGCTGGGTAGAGCTTTAGTTATGTAGTTACCATAGCAAGTGATTCGCAAATCCACTGCGAGCTACTATATGGGTTTGGATTTATTGCTAGTATGGATGAGTCAGGAGTTAGTGGGCTTTGCCGCGGAGCGCGCTACACATGTTATCAGTCATTCCAGGAGCCGGATTTTGCCGGAAACGGACCCTGATTACTCAGGGTTTTGGCGCTCGGCACGTTCGGTTTTAATCGGTCCTTCCAATGGATTTACCCAATGGCGGGGGTTGACGACCGAATGGCCGCCCTTAGCCACCTAGCCGGGTGCGCTGAACTTTAGTTGTAAAGATGACATATGGCCCATCTGTCGGGAAATCTGTGGACTGCATTTCTAGCGAGCTCAGCCGTCTTCAGTCGTATGGCATAAAAAAAGTTTCTCGAGGCGCAGGATAACGTCGTGAGTCAGGCGATATTACAGAACATTAGGGATTTCGGATGCCTTTCCGGCGGGATGCCGAATACGTGTACATCGGCAAGAGGGCTTTAAATGGGCCTCCGGTCACTTCATCCAAGCATCTAGCACCGATGGCAACTCCTCGCAAGATGAAGTATGGTGCGTTCCCGTTCGTCCCCAAATGCCATATTGGTCAAGTGGTTTCCTCGTAGTTCGACTTGGAAATTCAGGTCTGAAAGTGTCCAGAATCATCCTCGGCTG